CTGTGAGGTGCACACTTCACGTACCCATCACAGACCGTGACAGAGAATCCAGGTACCCATCACAGACCGTGACAGAGAATCCAGGTACCCATCACAGACCGTGACAGAGAATCCAGGTACCCATCACAGACCGTGACAGAGAAACTGTAGTTGTAAAGCATCAGATAAACGGTTAGTTACAAATGTATGGCAAGATAGTGGAACGAAAGGATTTCCACTTAATTAGTAATAGTAGAGCCATCATGTTTCACATTTTTAATCCCGCAAGGGATTGCGCTAACAGCTTTTTATTATTGAAATCAAACAAATACAGCTGATCGTAGGATATAATTCATGACTTCTCTTCTTTGTCAGTTAGCGATAAATCTGAACTTCAGCTAATAAGAGTCTCGGAGAGACTTTCTCTTTCACTCTGAAACTCTCTTTTCTTGTATCGATATTGAAGTCAAAAGCAATATAGTCATATATTGAAAGCCTCTTGTTTTATGTCAGAAAGTACGATTGCACTGCTGTCTAATCGACTCAGGCATATTCTACCATCAGATTACTAAATGAATAAACAGTTACAGATGAGATGCTGTAGATTCACTAGATACGGTGTATCTCTCCTATTACTCATTGATTTGTCTAATGTCTCGTTACTCTTTGCTATTCTGCCTGATGCATTTTGCGAGAAAAATATGAAAGTAACCAGCTCTATTTTAAAAATCGACTTTATACTTATTTCAAGGGGGAAACAGCAGACTTCAAGACTTCAGGACTTCAAAAGACTTCATTTGACTTCAAAAAATTTCATTAGACTTCACGAGACTTCATCAGACTTCATATGACTTCAAAGACTTCACAAGACTTTGAGAGATTTCAGGAGACTTCGAGAGGCTTTTAAGACTTTATGAGACTTCAAGGTCGAAGTCTCTGCTGTTTCCCCCTGACTTATTTCATAAAGTTAAATGTCTAAAACTTTCAAGATAAACAATATTTTATCCCAATAGCTTAATACAGCTTTTTAAACTGTATTATAGAGCAACAAAGCCCTGACTCTGACTTCTATGAGATTTTTAGAACCATAATCAAAATCCTAGAGATCCAATATAAATTTCGGGAATGCGAATTATTATTATAAATGTTCTGTAAATCCCATGGAAATCCGAGGAAATCCCGGCAATCCGAAATCCGCCGTTTCTTCCTTGCTTTTCTCCCTTTGGGTCTAGCTTGTTTTTGGATACTTGTTCAGTTTTTGAATAGCACTACCATTGATTGTTGTAATGGAAGATTGCTGCTGCTTTTGGCACTTTTGATACATTAAACGTGCCCTGAAGTTTAGGCGGAACTCTGAATAATAAAATATTTGACAAGTCCACAAAGAATAAAAAGGGAACATAGTCTTAATTATTTTATTATATCTATTAGAAAATAATTTTTGTCTCACGTTCTTTGTTGATAAATATCTCAGTTAAATAAAACAAAACAAAGAAAATATTTACTATTCTATCATTAATAAGTAACTAGTGAATATATTATCAAATAGAATGCTTTATTATATGAAAAACGATTAGCTAT